GAAACATACAGTACACGGCCTTCTTGGTGGCTGCTCCCAGGCTCTGGAAATCTATTCTAAGGTAGACTAACCTTTCCTCTGTTTTGCATTCCATTAACCGCTCAGCAATTGACTAGTCGTCAGGAAAACAACTTTTGGAAATATTGGTGTTGTGCTGTTGTTTTGAAACGACATCTTTTAAAAATTGCTTAAAATTCAGTTTTTTAAAATATTATAGAGCGTTTTTTAAAAATATGGTAACTTTTGGTATGTTTTTGTTTTCCTGTTTTTATTATTTTTATTCATATTATCTTTAATTTGACAATGAGCCAGCGTGAGTCCTATTTGTAGGGAAAAGGCAGAATATCAACTGGATAAATGAATAAATATTCCCAGTCTGGCATCTTTTGTCTAAGGAGGCAAGGGGTTAAAGCCTCTACAATGCTTTTTACGCTGGAGATCGATGAAGATCAAACTAAGGACATTTTCCTTCTGGATCATGTGTTCTAGCATTCAGTTAGGGCCTTGCTCATCCCTTAACTGTTAAAGCTTTTTACTAGCTGTGCATTTTTTAAAAAAAATGTTAAAATGATTGCACGCCTGCTGACCTACGCACAACCTCTGCTCAGTCGGCCTGAGATGATGACATGCCCAGCTCAGTCCATGGCTGAGTAGGAATTTAAGCTGCTGTCTACACCAGCAAACGTGCATCTACAAGGAGACTTGGGTAGCTGTTTTCATAGTTATGAAACTGCTTTGGAGGCTTGCCAAAGCCCTAGCCTGAGAATGTTTTTTTTTTAAATTTAGAAATGCTCTACTTCTCCTGGTTTGGGCGGGACTTAGAGCTTCAGTGACTTGGAAGTGTGACAGGTATTGTATTTTTTTCAAAAGAGACCATGCTGGAGAAATATAATTTTGAGGTCTCGTTGTTTCTGTGATTTGCTGTCAAGGTACCTCCTGCTTACAGCTGTGCTATGAATGAGTGAGTGATCTTCAAATGGTCTGGTCCTCAGCAGTCCTGCTTAGCTCTTGTATAGGCTGGTGGCTTCCTTTTGGGGGGGGAGTCTGTCCATCTCTCACTGGGGTCTTCCTCAATTCCTGCTGCCTTCCACCTTTCCCGACCTTCTGGTCTTTTCCGTGAAATCCTACCTTCTCAGGATGGGCCCAAAGTTGGACTAGCCTCCACCATTTCTGCCTTTGGAGATGGTTCAGGCTGGATTTGATCTAGGGCCCGCTGGTTCATTTTTCTGGCAGTCCAAGGTATCCCACACTGGGATGCCTGTGTTGGCTTCCTTGTAGAGAGGATTGGGATTTATATCCCTTCAAATAAAATGGCAGCTGATCCTGGTGGTCCGGATGATCACCTTCCCAGTGGTTGGGATCCCCACACGGATCTCTCTCTGTGTTACCCCAAGGCAGGAGAGCATGTTTGTGTCTTGGAGCGATCCTCCTCGTTTGTTTTTCTCCTCTGCTCCAGGCTCAGAGAGCTCCAGCCCCCCCCCTCGGTGCGCCTTTGGCAGACAGAGGAGAGAGGAAAGGCGCCTTCCTTTTTGATATTCATTTGCAGGCTTCCAGTTCCTTTCTGTCCAGTCCCTGTTTATTCGAGAGACTACAACGTTTCCATGGCAACAGGTTACTTTTCAAAGGGGGAACATCTTGTCATTATATTTAATCCGCTGCGGCTGAAGAGGGACTGAAATATTAAGTTGTTGCTATGGAGACCACTTTGTTACATCGGTTTCCCTTTGGTGTCAGATTTCATATACTATATGGTGCCGGCTCCTTGCCCTCCCTCTTCTTATCCCCTTTCTTGACCCCCTGCACACGCGCCCCCCCCAACACACACCTCCAGATATGAAGCATGAATGCCTCTTGGCTTAAACATAAATAAATGAAAACATGTTTAGGTATGGTAGAAAGCATTATCTTTTTGTAAGGTGGGGGTGAGAAAATGGGCTTGTTCAGAAATGCTTAATGTGAGGGGGGGGGAAGGTATGAAATGGTGGACACGTGTACTTCTCACATTTACAGTCCAGCCCCCGCCCTGAATTTTTGCAGCCTCTCCTCCAGTGTAGTAATAAATGGCATTTCTCCTTTATCTCATAAGGAATTGGAAAAATAGGTGGAGTGAAGAAGGAGAGGCTCCAAAAGGAGGCAGGGTCCCAGTCAAAGGAGCAAACAAAACTCATATATTAGGTTGAAAGGCAGGGAAGAATAACGATGACGACGGACAATTAAATGCATGCAAGAAGTGTGGAAATAGATTAAAATGCAGATTTTAATAGTTTTTTGCAAGAATGGTAAGGGATGGAATAGGTGTAAGAACGAAGACACGTGGAACTTGGCGAGGGCCCGAAGGAGGGGGTTCCTCTCATCTGTGTTCCTGGTGTGGCTTTTTCTCTCTTTCAAATGCCTCTGGCCTTTTCTCCCTCTTTTTCCTGCTCACTCCCTATCACCAGGAATGAGTGGCTTTCTGGCTTTGCCCCTTTTTAAGAAAAAAGAGAGAAAAAGAGGTAGGGTTCAGTGAAGGGAGGTTGTGTGGTTTTCTCTCCTCCCCTTTCCCCCCCTAAATCTTCAGTTCTTGGCCTGTTCAGGGCACGGATGCAGTCCCAAGTTCTTCCTGCACTGACCCTATGGGGAGGGCTTTTGCTCTCCACGCCCCCCCCCCCCGGGATGCACGGGGGTTGGAGTCAGGGTGGCTGGAACCTGCCTTGCTGGGGGATGAGTTGGAGGGGAGCAGGTGGTTTCCGCCTGGTTCTGTTTAGCAGAGCTAGAACCTGATCCGAGCTGCCTTTCTGTCCGTCTTGCCTTTCCCGCGTTCTTACAGAGACCACACAGAGTCCTTTTGCGAGACATCTTTCTGGGCAGGGAGCCATTGTACAAAAAAAGGTGTTGAATAAAAGGATGGCTTTAGCAGCTTGTTTTTCTCACTGTAAACTGAACTGTGGGAATAAAAGCCATGTTTGAAGAAAAGATTACATACAGCAGCTTGTATTTTGCAACTCCATGAACGCTGGTTTCTGTTCATGCATTCTGCCCCAACCCCTCTACATAATAAGAGGGTTTTCATCTTGGTTGCTTTGCTGTGAACTCCTTGGAGAGTGAACACAATGCGGCAGCCTATTCCGGTTGTGGGTCTTACGGTTTTTGAAGTCCGCTCTATGCAGGCAGAAGCATCTGGGGATGCTCTGTTATATCACACGCGCACATCCTTAGAAATGAAAAATGAGCTCAAAGGCGCTCGGTCATTTTGATCTTCAGAGTGTGTGAGGTTTTGTCTGTATGATAAATTTAGGCAAGCTTTTGACTTATATTTAAGCTGTAGGTGACCAGGAAATAGATATAGGTGAGTAGTACATTGTTTGGTGAAGGAAAACTTCCTTCCTTCCCTTGTGCTCAACACAGTCCTCCAGCTACATTTTCCTCTGCCAGTCCCGGGTCATCTCCTTTGAGCACCGTATATTCTGAGTGCTGGGTCCTAACCTCCTGCCTAACGGGTTAATTGGACCATGGATTCTCTGGGCCTGTCAAGGAAGGCATTGATTTCTGGGCCACCTCTTGGTACAAACTTTTGTGCCTGTAAGAGGTTGAGATGTGGAAGACTTACCCAGTGGCTTTCGCGCAGAAGAAAAACACAGGGTAAACGTGGAATCCACGCCAAAGAGATCAGCGTTTGAATCCTTGGCCCGCCATGAAGTTGATTCACGGTGGCCTTGGGCTGGAAGTCAGCCTTCCTGAATTGCCATCCTGCTCTTTGGTGGAAGGGGAGGATGAATACATCCCAAGTAAATAAAATCACAAAATAGCACTGAAGTGGAGAAAAGTAACCTCTCTGTCCTACCTGCTAGTTAGGAGGTGGCTCCCAAGAGAAAAAGGGAGGGCTGGGTGGTTGGGTTCCGAATCGTGAGTCGAGTCAAAAATCCGACTTGAGTCACTGCTGCAGCTTAAGTCCGACTCAGCAGCGAGTCCCGCACCTCAAGGCCCCCATCCTGGGTTCCTGCTCTCTCCCCAGCTTGGCCACAGACACTTGCTGTAATACTTCAGAAGAGACATGGCAGTGGTTTCCCAGAATCCTTCTGCATTATTAATTTAGACGGCTTCTATGAAACCACCACCATCCAGTTACTAATTCGGAACGGTTCTGTGAAAATAGTTTGAGGAGGTGCAAAGAGGGGGGTGGGCGGATCTGCATGAAGCCACGCTGGCTTTGAAAGTCAAGGGGTCCAGGCAGGCTGATAGCTGGAGACTGTTTTCGGTGCACTTGGTGGGAAATGCTGTGCAAGGCAACCAGGAGGAGAGATGGGAAAGGAAGGCTCCAGCTGAAAGAGGTGGCACTCCTTGTGCACAGCTAGGTGGCAGCCTCTTGCTGGAGACCTTGTTCGGCTGGAACATTGACAAGCAGGGGGAGGGAAGAGAGAAAGGAATCTGGTATCCTCATAGACCATAGTTTTTCCCNTTTTTTTTTTTTTTTTTTTTTTTTTTTTTTGGACACTTAAATTTCAAATTGGGTAGGCAGTTTTTGGAATTCTTGTTTACTATTTCTGGTCTCCCCTCTCCCGTAAAGGAAGCTTTCGGGTTGCTGCAAAAGCTTTAAATTCACCCGCCTTTCTAAAATATGCTGTACACTGAGGATGGATCCAGGGGAGTGGGTCGCCATTCACTGGAGTTATAAGCAGAGGTAGTCTTGATTTCTTGTTTGGCTAGGGAGTAACTGGCCTGCCATGTCGTCTTTCAGCATTTTAAACAAGCGCTTGCTGCTGCGGCTGCTGACAATATACTTTGCCTTCAATGTGGAGATCTGTGCTCTTTTGAGAATTGTTACATGTGTCTTCAGTTTTTGTTGCTTAATTGATTCTGCTTATATTCTGCAGCCTTTTTAACATGACACTGAAGACAGCCCCATGTGTTTTCTTCCAAGTTGTGCAGCTAGAACGGTTCATTTTTACACCGCACCGGGTAATGCCATGTTGTGCCATTTTGTTCGTCCTACTTACCGGTACATCTGTATTCTTCTGTTCCAG